TGGGGGTTTTTCTCCTAAAAGTAGGCAGCAAATGGTGAGGGAATATTTTTTGAAAGACCATCAGAACGTAGATTATTAAAAATAAAATTTTTTCGGGCATACAATTTGGCGTAGATTTTTTAAATAATATTCTTCAGGGCATACAATTTGGCGTAGATTTTTTAAAGAATATTTTTCAGGGATTTTTTAAATAATATTTTTCAGGGCATACAATTAGGCGTAGATTTTTCAAAGAATGTTTTTAGGGCATACAATTAGGCGTAGATTTTTCAAAGAATGTTTTTAGGGCATACAATTAGGCGTAGATTTTTCAAAGAATGTTTTTAGGGCATACAATTAGGCGTAGATTTTTCAAAGAATATTTTTAGGGCATACAATTAGGCGTAGATTTTTTAGAGAATATTTTTGAGGTCATACAATTAGGCGTAGATTTTTTAAAGAATATTTTTCAGGGCATACAATTAGGCGTAGATTTTTTAAAGAATATTTTTTAGGGCATACAATTAGGCGTAGATTTTTTAAAGAATATTTTTCAGGGCATACAATTAGGCGTAGATTTTTTAAAGAATATTTTGTGAGGCCCAAATGAAGGCGTAGATTTTTTATAGAATATTTTGTGAGGCCTAATGAAGGCGTAGATTTTTTAAAGAATATTTTTCAAGGCATACAATTAGGCGTAGATTTTTTAAAGAATATTTTGTGAGGCCCAAATGAAGGCGTAGATTTTTTATAGAATATTTTGTGAGGCCTAATGAAGGCCTAGATTTTTTACAGAACATTTTGTGAGGCCTAATGAAGGCGTAGATATGTATAGAATATTTTGTGAAATTTATCTTTAATGAGGTGTAAATGAAATACATTTTCACATTTCCTTGCGTTCTTGGCATGCACTCCACTTCCGCTAGCATTGTCATTACATTAATATACGGTCTGTTGCATAGTTTTAGGGGAGAACATATAAATGTCCCCCTAGATTTAATGCTTTGTTAAAAATGTTCCTTATAGTTCGTCACATAATTAAAACGTTCCCTTATCTATCTCTCTACTTCAACCGCAAAGAACGACATAACCTTTAGCACTGTCCCTCCATTCAATGGCTCAACTATCAAAAAAAAGGGCAACCAAAATCTATTCAAGTCCCAAATATTACACCCCCGCTCCCTTGGTCACAACTCTATTCACAAAACAAAGTTCAATTACAACATTTATGTGTCAACGAAGGTTTTGGGGCTTGCTTCAAAAATATTCTAGTCACGTCCTCTACAGTTGATATTTTTTCTTTTCTGTTTCCTTTCCTCTCCTTTCAAAAGGAGTTGTTTCCCATCCCTTCTGAGGAAATTTTTCCCAACCGTGACATGGAAGCGTTGCTCATTGAAATTTTGACACGCAAACATTGTCAAAAACAAACAAAACACCAGAAATCATCGATCCGAAAGAAGGGAACTCGAATGGTTGAATTTCTTACATGAAACCATTGTAAGCTTCAATTCTACGAAAGGAGGAATAGACTTACCCTAGCCACGTGAAAATCATTAATGTTTACATTTGAAAGTATTCTTACCACTTACTTACATAGAATTTACACTTTAACAACTGAAGGTAGCAACCCCTTAGCGTCTGCACACCAAAGCGGTCGTTGACGCTGCTTCTTTGGCTTTGGGTATTTTTCCTTACTTTTTTTGCTCACCCCTTACATTTGATCCGAAAAAAGGGTAACATTTTCAGAGAAATTCTATTTTTTCTCTTCTTTCTTTTGCAAACCAAAGTTTATTCAAACTTTCTCTCTTCGGAGGTAGTCAAATGGCAAAAATCATAACCAGATGTTACAAGTCGTTCTAAAACTTCTTTGCTTTTGTAACACCCATGGCGAACATTATCAAAGGGGAGGGGGAGAGTGTATCGGTGTGAAAGAAGTTTATGAAGATATAGACTAGTATCTGTGCATTTTTTGTCACTGTTATGTTTATTCCTAATATTTGGTCACCAAAAATAGCTGTCATTTTAACGGTAATGCCTGTCATTTGCAGGTAATGTCTTCAGCAGAGTATAGAAAGAATTTTAAAGAATATTTTTAGGGCATACAATTAGGCGTAGATTTTTTAAAGAATATTTTTTAGGGTTATGCGTAGATTTTTTAAATATTTTGATTATGAAAATGGAAATTTTTTAAAAAATTTTTCACTGTACAATTAGGCGTAATTTGTTAAATAATAGTTTTCAGGGCATACAATTAGCGAATTTGTTAAGAATATTTTTCAATGAAGGCGTAGTTTTTTTAGAGAATATTTTTCCAAGGCCTACAATAAGGCGTAGATTTTTTAAAGAATATTTTTTCAGGGCTACAAATGAAGATGTAGATTTTTTAAAGAATATTTTTCAGGGCATACAATAAGGCGTAGATTTTTTAAAGAATATTTTTCAGGGCATAGATTTTTTAAAGAATATTTTTTCAAAGCCTACCATAAGGCGATGATTTTTTAAAGAATATTTTTTCAAGGCCTACAATAAGGCGTAGATTTTTTAAAGAATATTTTTTCAAGTAATAATGAAGGCGTAGATTTTTTAAAGAATATTTTTTTCAAGTAATAATGAAGGCGTAGATTTTTTAAAGAACATTTTTTTCAAGTAATAATGAAGGCGTAGATTTTTTTAAAGAACATATTTTCATGTGGAAATTTTTTAAAGTAATAATGAAGGCGTAGATTTTTTAAAGAAAAATGTTCAAGCATCCAACGAAGGCGTAGAGGAAGGCGTAGATTTTTTAAAGAAAATATTTTCAAGTGGAAATTTTTTCAAGTAATAATGAAGGCGTAGATTTTTTAAAGAATATTTGTTCAAGCCTCCAGCGAAGGCGTAGATTTTTTAAAGAAAAATGTTCAAGCATCCAACGAAGGCGTAGATTTTTTAAAGAAAAATGTTCAAGCATCCAACGAAGGCGTAGAGGGAAGGCGTAGATTTTTTAAAGAAAAATGTTCAAGCATCCAACGAAGGCGTAGAGGGAAGGCGTAGATTTTTTAAAGAAAATATTTTCATGTGGAAATTTTTTCAAGTAATAATGAAGGCGTAGATTTTTTAAAGAAAATATTTTCATGTGGAAATTTTTTCAAGTAATAATGAAGGCGTAGATTTTTTTTGAGAATGTGTATAGAATCACTTTCTGAGTCGATTTACGCATGTCCGTCCATGTATTTTTGTGAACAAAGTACAGGTCGCATTTATGATCCGATTTGGACGAAATTTGGCATAGGTCACTTATATGGCCCAAGGACGAACCCTATTGAAATTGGGAAAAATCGGTTCAGATTTAGGTATAGCTCCAACATATATTTTCGTCCGATTTAAGGTAAACGGTGCACCAAAATCCCTATATATATCTCGATTTGCACGAAATTTGGTACAGCGTAATGAATTATGTCTAGAATGATGTGTGTTAGGTTTCCTGAAAATCGCTTCAGATTTAGAAATAGCTCCCATATATATTATCCTCCGATTTAGGGTAAATGGTCTACCAAAGTCCCTATATATCTTTCGATTTTCGCGAAATTTGGCACAGCGTAATGAATTAAGTCTAGAATGATGTGTGTTAAGTTTCGTGAAAATCGGTTCTGATTTAGATATAGCTCCCATATATATTTTCGACCGATTTAAGGCAATTGTGTACCAAAGTCCCTTAATATTCTTTCGGTTTGCACGAAATTTGGCACAGCGTAATAAATTAGGTCCAAAATGATGTGTGTTAAATTTCCTGAAATCGGTTCAGATTTAGATATAGCTTCTATATCTGACTAAATGAAAAATTTAGTATCGGTTGCAGAATGACATGTTTATGGATCCAATTTCATTTTACTGGTCCTTTAAAAATGCGAATATACCCAAAGTTGTGAAGGGTATCATATAGTCGACCCCGTCCGACTTTACGGGTTAAAAAATATTTTTGAGGGAAGTTTTTGCCTTTAAAATGATGTAAAATTTCCTTTCATATCAATTAATGCCAAAAGGAATCTTTTGTTGTCTTGTTTCCTTTTCCGCTTATTTAACACAATTAATTTTCATACATTCGCATACATATGTATGTGCATCATTGTGTGTGTGTTTGTTTGTGAATGCTGACTTCAAATTTCTGCTCTAACGCCTTTTTTAAGTAATGTTTGCTGTTAGTCTTACCGCCAGGATTTGTTTTTGGTCCTTTCTACTGCTGATGTTGACACAAGTCACATGACTGTCATATGATGCAGCATGTCACTCACTGTGAGGCCCTGGGATGATTGAAGCGGGTGGTGGTGATTTGTTCTTCAATTTTTTTTAAAGTGCTTTACAAATATACCGAGACAATGTCTATGTTTCATTGTTCATCTGCCGACAATGTGCTGATATACAAATATGTAGTTTCCACTAGAGAACTGTTTGGTTGTATTGTTCCTTGGCTTTTGAGTGTGTGTTTGAGTCTTTGTTTTAATGACAATATCTCAGGGTTTATTTAAAGGATTTTTTTTGTTTCTTTTGTATACCTTTCTGAAGTGATTGATTTCAAAGTCGAGGATAAGAGATTTGTGTTTCTTTCTAAATCTTTAAAAGAACTTCGCTGTGAGTCAGAAAAGGGATTTTTTTATATTTTTAATCCTAAAAGTAGACTTTAATCTGAGAACAAATATGCTCCCAAAAAGTATGCTTTAAATATTTCCATTATAATGGGAAATTTTAACAAAATGAAGCTCATGGTCTGGTCGGGGCTGGAAAATTCCGTTTTAGGTGTGAAAGCCCTTGCCGAGCGTAGAAAAAACCAATAGAGAAAAGCTCGCTATAGGTCAGATTAGTTAGACACATCCTAAAAATAGGCTATATTATCTTTTTTATAAAAATTTATTTATTTTTTTAATAAAAGTCATATTCTAAATTTTCCTAAATTCTATGCTGTATGTATTTTTTTTCATTTTATAAAAATTATTTTTTTTTTAAATCAAAATTTAACCTTTTCCCTCTCTTCTTCTTTATTTTTCCAGCTGGTCTTAAATACACCGATAATCAACGTGTCATCATCCATGTCAAGGATGTCAATGATGAACCACCCTATTTTATTAATCGCCCATTACCCATGCAGGCGGTAGTACAACTAAATGCTCCACCAAATACACCCGTATTTACTTTGCAAGCTCGTGATCCTGATACCGATCATAATATTCACTATTTTATTGTACGTGATCGTACCGGGGGACGTTTTGAAGTCGACGAACGTTCTGGAGTTGTACGAACACGTGGTACTGATCTCTTCCAGTTGGATATGGAATATGTCCTTTATGTTAAGGCGGAAGATCAAAATGGCAAAGTAGATGATCGTCGTTTCCAAAGTACACCCGAAGAACGTCTGAGTATTGTGGGCGGTAAGCGGGCGCCACAATTTTATATGCCAAGTTATGAGGCGGAGATTCCCGAAAATCAGAAAAAGGATTCAGAGTAAGTCAGGCAATAGGGAATTTTTTAAATACATTTTATTTTTTAATACATTTTTAAATACATTTTATTTTTTTATCTTTTATTAAATTCAATTTATTTTATTTCTTTTTTTATAAAAAGTGTTTCTTTATTTATAAAGAAATATTTCTTTACTTGTAAAAAATATTTCTTTATTATTAAATTAACATTTGTTCGCCTTCATCGTTCCTTCCTTTTGAGTGCCAATAAATTTTATATTGTGCTCGAAGAAGTAGCGTTGATTGTAGACTTCACATTTTATTTAATTGCAATGCCTTGAAGTATGCTTTAATTTCGTTACACAATATTTTATTCTCTTACTCATTCTCTCCGTCTCTCTCTCTCTCTTTCTTCCATGTCCTGCAGCATTATTTCCGTCAAAGCCAAGTCATTTGCAGACCGTGAAATCCGTTACACATTAAAAGCTCAAGGCCAGGGTGCAGGTACCTTCAACATTGGTCCCTCATCGGGTATTGTTAAACTGGCTAAAGAATTGGATTTCGAAGATTTACGACAGCCTCATGTCTATTCGCTGATTGTAACAGCCACCGAAGATTCGGGTGGTTTTTCCACATCTGTTGAGGTAAGTACTACTTGAAAGAAAAAATAAAATGCAACTGTGTTAGTGCCCTGGGTAGTCGAAGAGGATTACGGCGATGATGATGGTGGTGTTTGTGTTGCCCTGAGTGCTGCAAATTTTCAATATGCTTTAATGGCAAATTGTAGTGTTCGCTCACTGGTTATGGCCACCCACTAACCCGCCTCCTCCAACACCACCATCAACAAAATTTTTCTTATAATCCCAAAGGGCCTTTAGTTGTGCAAAATTTCAATACACACAGACCCTTTTGTTTTGTATTACTTATGGTTGACTGAACTTCTGTGTCGTTCGCCTAGAACTCGCCTTTGAATTATTGACTTAGGCGGTAGGTGAGGTGGTGGTGTTGACGGCTGTGTAGATTGGGCCACATGGTAATGATGGTAGTAAATTTTCCAAGGGCAATTTAATGTCACTAGAGATTTGTGTTGTAACTCTAGCCAACGTTATGCACTTAAATGCATAATTTTCAATAGCTCTATATAACGAGTAACGGATTGTTGGGAGGACCTTGTTCGTTAGATGCGAAAAACTAATGGCAGGAAGGAAGCATTGCCGTCAATTGACAGTTTTATTGGATATTTTCTTACTCAACGACAGATTCTGAAAAAAAACTCTTCCAGTAAATTTTATTTAAATTGCATCGAGACGAGGGAGTAATCTGGTTATTGGAAAACTTATGATTCCGGATATTGAAAACTAAATGAAATATTTATCAGATATACAAGGAGATAGGGTTATTATAAAAATAAATTAGATAAATAATTTATGGATAATAGAAATCGAAATTAGAAGCGTTTTAAAGGACTTCGATTTGTATTTTCCATGGAAAAAAATCAAATAACCTTGGTCAGAACTTTTTTTTCTATAGAAAAAAAATGCACCGACCCTTAGTCTTAACATTTCTTGCACTAGAAAAAAATCGAACTCACGTGGTCGCAGGTTTTTACTATAGAAAAAAATTCACAGACCCCAATTATACCTTTGGTCGGATGTTTTTTCTATAGAAAAAATCTTAGAGCCTTGGTCGGAGTTTTTTTCTATAGAAAAAAATTCGTAGACCCTTGGTCGGAGTTTTTTTCTATAGAAAAAAATTCGTAGACCCTTGGTCGGAGTTTTTTTCTATAGAAAAAAATTCGTAGACCCTTGGTCGAAGGTTTTTTCTATACTGAGACCCTTGCTCTCAAGATTTTTCTTTAGAAAACAATTCATAGGCCCAATGACGAAGGTTTTTTCTACAGACAAGAATTCATAGACACCTTGTCCAAAGTTTTTTCCACAGAAAAAAATTCCGATACCCTTTGTTCGAGGATTTTTGCTATAAAAAAATTTAAGAGACTTTAAGAGGTGGGAGTTTTTTTCTATAGAAAAGAAATCGTAGAGCCTTGGTCGTAGTTTTTTTTCTTGTATAGAATAAAATTCGCAGGCTCTTGGTTGTAGGTTTTTTCTATAGAAAAATATTCGCAGACCTTTTGTCGGAGGGTATTTTCTATAGAAAAAAATTCGGAGAACCGTAATCAAAAGTTTTTTCGTTAGAAAAAATGCACAGACCCTTGAAATTTTCTGTAGAAATTTCGTAGACTTCTTGCCGAAGGTTTTTTCCTAGATCCTTGGTTGGAGGTTTTTTTTTCTCTAGAAAAAAATCGTATACCCTTGGTCGGAGGTTTTTTCATTAGAAAAAAATGTACAGAAATTTTCTGTAGAAATTTCGTAGATATTGGATCAGAGGTTTTATCTATAGAAAAAAATCGTAGACCCTTGGTCGGAGGTTTTTTCGATAGAAAATTTTTTTCATTAGAAAAAATTAACAGACCTTTAATTTTTCTGTAAAAAAAAAAAATTCAGGGAATAGTCGGCTATTTTTTCTACAGGAAAAAATCTGAGAACCTTGGTCGGTTCTTTTGTCTAATTGATGGCTTTATCGTAGAACCTGGGACCTTCACCTCGAATTTTTCTTTGATTTTGTTAATTTTTACTAATTTTAATTATCTCTCTCTTTTTACAGCTCACAATTCGTGTCACCGATGTCAATGATAATGCCCCCAAATTTGAATTACCCGATTATCAGGCCCATAATGTTGATGAAGACATACCGCTGGGCACAAGTATATTACGTGTCAAGGCCATGGATTCCGACTCGGGCGCCAATGCTGAAATTGAATATTTAGTATCGGATGATCACTTCGCAGTCGACACGAATGGAATTATTGTCAACAATAAGCAGTTGGATGCCGATAACAATAATGCCTATTATGAATTTTTGGTTACGGCCAAGGATAAAGGTGAACCCTCCAAATCGGGTGTGGCCACTGTACGCGTCTATACGAAAAATAAGAACGATGAAGAACCGAAATTTTCACAACAAGTCTATACACCGAATGTGGATGAAAATGCCGGACCAAATACTTTGGTTACCACTGTGGTGGCCTCCGATAAGGATGGTGATAATGTTCGTTTTGGTTTTGTTGGTGGTGGCACTTCGTCCGGGCAGTTTGTAATTGAGGATATAACGGGTGTAATACGTTTACATAATAAGGCAATTACTTTGGATCGCGATAAGTATGAGTTGAATGTTACCGCCATGGATGATGGTTCGTGTTGTGTTAATGGTGACCAAACGATTCACACCTCCACCGCCGTGGTTGTGGTCTTCATCACCGATGTCAACGATAATAAGCCAGTGTTCAAGGATTGTGCCACATATTATCCCAAAGTGGAAGAAGGTGCTCCCAATGGCAGTCCGGTTATAAAGGTGGTGGCCACCGATGAAGATAAGGGTGTTAATGGACAGGTAAGAGAGATGGAGAGATTTTTGTGGAGAGAAGAGAAGACAATTTGGTCTCATAAATGTGAATATTTTTGAAGTTATAAGGACTTTTGTTTTTTATAAAAAAAAATTAACAAATATAATCTGAAAATTGGAAGATTCACCCTACTCCCTTCAGGAATTTTTTTCACACCTCTATTCTCTCTCATTTTTCTCTGTAATAAAATTGTCATATTTGTTCATTTTATTTGTGACAAAACAACAGCATTTTCCCGTTGAAAAAAAACTCATAATTACATTACATAAATGCAATAAACATGTCTGCGGGCGGCAGAGAATTGACAATTTAAAAACCACATAATTAATTCAATTAAATAATAAAAAAATAAATAATTGCATTCCATTTATTTACTCAAAATTAGGTCAAATACTCAATTGTGCAACAACCAAATCAGAAAGGCACTAAATTTACAGTGGATGAGGAAACTGGTGAAGTGTCCACAAACAAAGTGTTCGATCGTGAAGGTGATGATGGTAAATTTGTATCGGTCACAGTGAAGGCCACCGATCAGGGTGAACCCAGTTTAGAGGGTGTTTGCTCCTTCACCGTGGAAATTACCGATGTCAATGATAATCCACCTCTGTTTGATCGTCAGGTATGTTTGAAATAAATTTCGTAATTTTCATTCAAAATAATTATTCAATTTTGTCTTCTCCTCCCCCGCCTCCCTCACAGAAATATGTTGAAAATGTCAAACAAGATGCCAGCATTGGTACCAATATCCTACGTGTTTCTGCCTCCGATGAAGATGCCGATAATAATGGTGCCATAGTCTATAGCCTGAGTGCTCCCTTCAATCCCAATGATTTGGAATATTTTGATATACAAGCCGAATCCGGTTGGATTGTCTTAAAGAAACCGCTTGACGTAAGTTTTTCGTTAACTGATTTATCATATTTAAAATTTTCGATTTTTTATTTAAAACATTTATTTATTTTTTTAGTTTTGGTTTTAGTTTTAGTAAACAAATTCTATGTTTTCCCCTTGAGTATGAAAATCTAAAAAAAGTGATATAAAAGTGGAAACATAGGAAAAACTAACAACAAAAATTTCTTTGGTTGCCAAATACTAACCATTTCTGCTAAAAATGTGGGTTAAATAATCTTTAGAAGAAAAAAATATTTAATGGAGTAAAGAAAAAAATTTAAAAAATCCAAAAAAAATGTTTCTATAAAAAATCCTCCTTGAATTTTTTTCTATAGAAAAAAACCTCAGACCAAGGGTCTCGGAATTTTTTTCCATAGAAAAAACCTCCGACCAAGGGTCTCGGAATTTGTTTCTATAGAAAAAAACTCCGACCAATGGTCTCGGAATTTTTTCTATAGAAAAAACCTCCGACCAAGGTTCTCGGAATTTTTTTCTATAGAAAAAACCTCCGACCAAGGGTCTCGGAATTTTTTTCTATAGAAAAAACCTCCGACCAAGGGTCTAGGCATTTTTTTCTATAGAAAAAACCTCCGAACAAAGGGTCTCGGAATTTTTTTCTATAGAAAAAACCTCCGACCAAGGGTCTCGGAATTTTTTTCTATAGAAAAAACCTCCGACCAAGGGTCTCGGAATTTTTTTCTATAGAAAAAACCTCCGACCTAGGGTCTGTGAATTTTTTTCTATAGAAAAAAGTTCAGACCAAGGGTCTGTGATTTTTTTTCTATAGAAAAAAACCTCCGACCAAGGGTCTCGAAATTTTTGCTATAGAAAAAACCTCCGACCAAGGGTCTCGGAATTTGTTTCTATAGAAAAAAACTCCGACCAATGGTCTTGGAATTTTTTTCTATAGAAAAAACCTCCTACCAAAAGTCTCTGAAGTTTTTTCTACAGAAACAAGTTCAGACAAAGGGTCTGTGAATTTTTTTCTCTAGAAAAAACCTCCGACCAAGGGTCTCAACATTTTTTTTCTATAGAAAAATCAACCGACCAAGGGTCTAGGATTTTTTTTTATAGAAAAAACAGCCGAACAAGGGTCTCGGAATTTTTTCTATAAAAAAACCTCGACCAAGGGTCTCGGAATTTTCTTCAATAGAAAAAACAACCGAACAGGGGTCAGTGAATTTTTTTTTCTATAGAAAAAAACGTGCAGACCAAGGATCTGTAAATTTTTTCTATAGAAAAAATTTTTTTTGTGTAGAAAAAACCTGCGACCAAGGGTCTCGGATTTTTTTTCTATAGAAAAATACTACAGACCAAGTAGAAAAAACCTCCGACCAAGGGTCTCGGAATTTTTTTTCTATAGAAAAAACCTTCGACCAAGGGTCTCGGAATTTTTTTCTATAGAAAAAAGTTCAGATATAGAAAAAACTTTCTGTAGAAAAAACCTCCGACCAAGGGTCTCGGAATTTTTTTCTATAGAAAAAACCTCCGACCTAGGGTTTGTAATTTTTTTTATAGAATAAAACCTCAGACCAAGGTCCTAGAAAATTTTTCTATAGAAAAATAGTTCGGAACAAGGTTCTATGATTTTTTTCTATAGAAATCTTTACTCCTTTAATATTTTTTTGGAACTAAAATTATTAACCCCGCCTCAAAACTAACCAAGAAAAATTTCTTTAGTTTAAAATACTAACATTCGGTTTGGACGATAATGATAATTAAAGGGTTCAATACCAAAGAAACCCCTGCAAAATAGGTTGCCCCATAATTTCTGCCAGGGATTTTGGTTTTCTTTTTATGTTTTTTTTTTTTTTTTAATATAAAAAAAAAATAAATATTTTTCTTTGTAATGGCTTTTTCTAATACCAATGCGATATAATGGAAATTTGATTACAATTTTATTTGAAATATTTTATTTTATTTAAACTGCACCATTTTTAGTTAATTTTTTAAATAAATAATACAGGCCAACCAAATTTTTTAAACTGTAGCTTGGGTTGCTGTAAATCATTTATGGTTTATTTATAATTATTTGCAATTAATTAAAAAGAAGAAGAATATTTTTTTAAACTTAAAATGGATTTTTTTTGATACTAAAACCCAATGAAAAACTGAAAAATAAAAATCCATAGGTAACAAGTAAGCAGTGCAAATTTTTTTGAGAACCACATAAAAAATAAACTAGAACATTTTTGAAAGAAAGAAAAAATTGATATAACAATTTTTTTTATATTTTCATTTCGTATAACAGTTTTCAGTTTTTGTTTTGATTGTCCAATATATATGTTTTGCTTTAGTTTAGTTTAAGAAAATCAGAATGAAAACCAAACTAAAAAATTGGCTTAAATGCAATTCAATGGTAATGAAAGAAAAACAAAAACAACCACAAATTGATTTTTAACATTTTTTCCTAAGCAAAAAAAAAAACAAAAACACCAAGTGTTTGAAATTTCATATAGTAACAAGGTTTTGGGTCAGGCTTTTTTGTAAATATTTGAAAAAAAAAGTAATCAAAAATCAACACGCCAAATAATTTTACACTTAGTCTTAAGTAAAAAAAACAACAACCACTCAATAACCTAACAAATCCTCCTTTTACGAATTTTAGCTATATTAACAAATATACCAGTATTTTTTTTTATTATATTTAATATTATGTGGCATTTTCATATATATAAGCAAATGTTTCAAATGAATTTTTGACGAAACATTATCCACAAATATGATGGCAATGTTATTTTTTTTCTGTGTAATTTTTAATTTAATTATTATTACTTTAAAATTTTCTTTTTCTACCCCCTTCCCCCTCTAAAATCCTGTGCTTGTTAATCTTTTTTGAAATAAAAAAATAGTAAGACAGAGGCTAAATATATTTTTGAAAGTCTCTGGAAGTTTTTTCCAAAGAAATCACAATCTAAATGGAAGCATGCCTACCAAAAATAATTTTATATATACAAAATTATATATATAAAACAAAAAATTATATATAAATGTCAGTAACTCTTCTTAAAGGTTATTTATTATTAAATTTTATGTTACTTGCACCTTTTTGTAATATTTAAGTTATTAATAATTTATTTAAAAAAAATAAGATTTCTGATTTCTATTATTCTTAAAGAAATTTCTTTTCCTAACTATAATTTTCTATTTTTTTAATTTTCATATATATAAAAAATATGCAAAAAACAATCAAACAACAACGTAACAACTATTTCAACATTTTCTTTACATAACCTCATAAAAGGGTTGTTATCCTGTAAGTAAATATAATATGAATTTTAGGAATTTATATGCTTCCTCCACGTACTATATAGAAATATGTGGAGATTTTAGAATTCCATTTAAAAAAAGTCAAATAATTGTTGAATGTCTTAACAGCACACCTGCATATTGTTGTTGTATGCAAAGCAAAAAACGTTGAAAGAAATCATCGCTCCAGAACTTCTAATGATTACACATAAACATAAAAAATTAAAAAAAAAAAAACAAACCTATTCGATATTCAATGTTCCATTTGTCTGTGTGGTATTTATTCACCTTGCTAACCAAATCCATTGTGCCATTGATGTTAGGTAAAAAAAATTGCTCTTCGGTGTCAGTACAAACAATGAAATGTTATGGTATAATTTGAAAGGAGATATTTTAGGAATCATTAAAAAAAATAAAAACAAAATGTGATACAATTAAAAAAATACATTTTGAAAATCTTTGCCATACCGGACGAATAGGAAATGTATATATTTATTCCGGCATATCGATTATAAAGATTGTATTCCAAAATCCCAAAATCTGTCCTATATTTCATATCGCTTTTATTGACTAATTTCGCCGGTCGCTTTGAATTAAACTATAACTATGTCATTACCAATATTGTCCACAGCCACAATTTTTGATATCTAAGAGTTCAGGATCTCATTATTTTGTCATCTTTTTACAATCAGATATTTTTAATTATTTTTAAGATTTTCTAAATATGGAGTATGTATTTGATGGTGGCACATTAAACAACCAATATTTTCTATCCATTAAAAACTCTCCTATATTTTCTAACCCCGCCCCCACCAGTTCCGATCAGGAAAAGATTCCTTTAGTTGTGATTCAATCAAATTAATTCCTTATTTTTTATCAATAATTATATTGTCCCCTTCTAAGTACTCCCCCATTTATGCCGTGGGGTATTCCCACACTCAAAACACTTCGGAAATTCTCCTTTGGATACAGTTCCAAAACTCTTGTTTCATTTTTTTTCTTATCTCTCCTTATCTCCTCACTAGCAAATCCTTTCCCTTAATCCGGGTCTTTCGTTTTAGGAAGGAGAAACAATCAGCGGGGCCGAAATCCGTTGATACCGCATAAAGCGCGTGTTACGATTTGTCTTTTATCTCTTAATCCCTTAATCCGGGTCTTCAATTTTGGGAAGAAGAAAACAATCAGCAGGGGCCAAATCCGGTGAAAAAGGTGGTTCTTTCACGCCAAGCATCAATATGTGAACTACTCGGGTATAGTGGTGGTGCAAAATCCGTCATTGAGTTTTCCAAATTTTCTTTGTGTTTCTGAAGAATTGATTCGCGTATATGGCAATTTCAAAGTACTCCCCAATTGTGCCCAATTGATGAAGCCAAATGCCCATGTTTCATTTTTTTTTATCGCCCCAATCATATCAAATTGTTTCCCTTAATCCGGGTCTTCAGTTTTGAGAAGAGGAAAATATTAGCCAAATCCGCCAAGGATCAATATATGAGATCTGCTGGGTTATCATGGTGTAAAATCCTTGATTGGCGTTTCCACAATACTCTTCGTTTCTGATCAATTGATTCGCATAAACGGCCAATCACGGAAGGACGCTGAAGTCGAAAAAAAAACAGCGAGCTTCACCTTTCACCGAACTGGCGTCATATTTCCAGTCTTGGCTATTCTAAATTTTGACATTCGGATAACTAGGTTTTGGTTTCAATGTCCCATGACTCTTCACCGGTGATGATCTTTTTGAGGTTATCTGAATCGTTGACGATGTCGAACAGCTCCTGAGAAATTTTGGAAAAATCTTCACTGCCCCACGTTCATTGTGCACAACATCCGTACAAATTGTTTAGCGTAAGTCGAACGATATTCCGATATATTATTCCGCAACATTTCTGAGAGTGATTCCATGGTTATTCAATGTCCTAATGTTTCATCGATTTGTGGATGTGCTCGGACGACCTTGTTTGTCATGGTTCAATAATAGAACTCCAGCCTGAAAATCTATTCTTGTATAGACCTTCAAACACGATTCATTTTAAAATCCACGTCTTGGTTGGTTCTTAAAACCAAATTTTACGGATTGAAGAGGTATTAAAATGTAGGGATATAAAATATTCATCGGAATATTTTTCGTTCTCATTTGATAGGAAATCATTCTACAGATCATTTTTTTTTTGTGGGCCCACTTTTTATAAGCTCACCATATACATTTTTAAGATTATCCCAATTTCGGTAAAGCCGGAACTTTGGACAATATTTTCGAACCAAATTGAATATATTGGATTCACATAGGTTTGAATGTTGTCCTATAAAAAATAACCAATATTTTTTCCTAGTTTCAGGTTAGACCTCCTCTAACAGTTACTTATTATTATGAGCTTATCGTATGGTCACTCTGCACTTTCTGCAGATTTTTTGCGAATATTACTAATATTCAGTACAGTCCTTCAAATTACTTATCTATGTTCCTTTCACGGTGGATTGTGTTGTGATGTTCGGCATGTGGCCTATAGATCGACTCAAAAAAAAAAAAACACACACACAAAAATTAACTTTATGGTCCACTTCATCACAAAATATTATCTGATCATCACCGAAAATTACGTTGCGTTGTCCTTGACCGTAGCTGGAACCTTTCAAAGCGATAAGCCCTATATTTCCACTCTCTAGAGTGGTAAATATTTAAGTGTACGCCAATATAATTGGTATCAATTTAAAGGCCAACCACTCCTCTTGGATGTACTATCAACTTGTTTTCCAGAGAAAAAAATAAACTTTGTAATTTTTCACACAGAAGTCTGGGTCCATTTGGGCGGCCTTTATCTTTGGCCCTTTTCCATGTGAAAATTCGCAGTGATTGAACCATAATGGCGGCCTATGGAGCCACCAGAAAAACCGACATAAATTAAGTATTTGGTCCATTTGATCCCCTAAATATTAACCGATCTTTTACAAAAACAATAGGGGTCTTCATTGCACAGAATCCATCCTATATGCAAAATTTCGTGAAGATTGGCCCATAACAGTGGCCTGTATCGTGTTTAAAAATTATAATGGACCGACGTGCACACGTCTAGGTGGAGGATATAGGAGGGTATAATATCTCACAAAGCCGAACTTTGTGCCGCTTTCACTTTTGTTTTTGGTTTGAGCTAGCACTGAAATGCTCGAAGTCTGTCATTGTCGAGGTTTGAGTCTGGTTTCGGATTTCAGAGATATTAAAAATAGAAGATGTAACCTTGCGAAAGTGATTTTTTTGTCCGTAGATCCTTGGCGCTTGACCGCCTTTGAGGTTAATCAAAATCAATTAAAAAAAAAAAAAATAATTTGAATTTACATCGCATCTGCAATTTCACAATAACTTCCATATAAATACAAATTATCAACACACGACCTTTGTAAAGCCTCTTAGCCTTAGATGACTGAGGAGCTGCGGCGAAACGAGTCGCATAAAGGTGTGTTTTCTATGGATTTCCTTTTAATTGCAAAAAAATCGATCATTAATATCAAACATTACAACCCGTCACAAAAAAGGATTGCTTCGATGTTTTATAACACAACAACATTTAAGGTTAAAAAGAGGAAAATATATATGGTAGCTATATATAAATCGGAGTAGATTTCCTTCATTTTCAATAGGGTTCGTCCTTGGGCCAAATAAGTGAGTTGTGCTCAGCTCATTCTGAAAATAAATCAAATTTGACCTGCAATTTGTTAACACTTTAACATGGACAGGTGGATGGACATGCATAACTCGATTCAGAATTTGATTCTGTAAATATTCTCAAAAGGAAGCACGGGTCTATATCGTTTCCCTTTGGCCTGTTACAAACATATGCACAAAGACATCAATTAAATTTTTTAATAAATCGATTTTGAAACAAAAACATATTTCCATTGCGTCCAATATATCGAAGATTTTCAAATGTAATATTTTTATTTTTACTTTATTTTCAAATTGTACCATAACATCATCGTACACGAATTGCCGCCATTCAATGTATTTATGTTAGGCTTCAATAGAGAAATAAATATAATTGTATAAAAATATAAATTTTATAATCGTCGTTTACATCCAAAACCGAGAAGATTAACAAAAACAATAATCCCCTCATCCTTAGTAATAACTGTAATATTTTTTCATTTTTATTTAAAATAATTTATTTGTTTTTTTTAATTAATATATATTTTTTACTAACCCAACGAAACAAACAAAAAAATTAACCCTCTAACGTGATATGCAAACATCAAACGAAAATAACGTCCAATAAGAAAATAGCAATGCCATTAACCCTCCTTAACAGTAACAAAACACATTATATCCCGGACACAAACCATGTGTTTTTGGGGAGCGAAATGTTTTGAAAATATCCTTTATCCCTTCGCCATCAATGTTAACCTTAACATTTGCAATGTATGTTAAATGTAAAACTATACCCATTTGCCATGGATAACAATGACATTTAAACACACTTTTGAAAAAAAAATAAACCCATTTAACATTACATAAAAAAATTCTAAAAAATATTTTAAACAAACCAAACCAAAAAAATTATCCATCTCACCAACAGCGTGAGCGTTATCGTTTACGTGTACGCGCCTCAGACCGTGGCGAACCGCCATCCTATGCCGATGTCGATGTTGAATTAGATGTGGTCGATCGCAATAATAAGCCACCGATTTGGGATAAAAGTGTTTACGGGCCAATACATATACGTGAAAATGTCACTGTGGGTACGGTTGTAACATCGGTTAAGGCCAGGTTGGTATTTATTTTTTTTTTGTCTTCGCTTTCCAAAACTTTCTAATTCTACTTCTTCAAAAAAAAAAAAAAAAATACCATAACAAAAAAATCCAATAATGCTAACAATGTATCAGCTATTAGTATTTCTTTCTTTACCTATTTTTATAACCATACTCTGTTAATGTAATTCTCTATGAGTTTGGCTAATTTGTCTTAGTTTAACATAATTCCGAACTGTTGTCAAAACAGCAACAACAACTAATTTTCCGTTACTTTTGAATTCCCTGTGTAAAATTAACATTAACAGTTGTAAGTTTTGTTATGGAAGCTTTTGGCAAGGGATATCCATATTTTTGTGTAGCAGATATCCCTCTATTCCATAGAACTGTGGAAAATTTTTTTACGCCACAGCCATGACATCTGGCTGGCTGGTTAAGGATTTTGAAATTACCATTATTTTTTGGTGAATCAAAAATGGATACCAGAAAAAACCAAACCCACCATGACCTGGGTAATTTTGTGGTGTTACAAATGAAAATTGGAGATTTTTTAAAATTCAATTACAACTCTGCATGTCTAAGCTAAAATCAACAAAATTCCCAAAAAGGACAAACAAAATTTTTTTCGCATAGTTTTGTTGAAAAACAAAACTCCTCATAGCACACATTAAAAATTTCCTTGAAAGGAATTTTTATATATTTTTTTTATCTACACGTATGTGTGTGCAAACTGTTCACAGGGTGTTTATGTGTTTTGCAAAATACCACAGAATTTTTGAAATTTTGCATATTTATAACACCCTGTGTTGGACACCCACCTCCCCACTACTAATTCGTAATTAAATTCCCCCATTTCCCAACTCTTGAAGCAGATTTACACCTCCGGAAAAAAATTAAAAAAATACTCATTATTAACACAAAAATTGTTTATGGAAACTTTGCGCAAAGAAATATTCAACAACAACAAAAATAAAATAAAATTATTAATTGGCTATTGGTCTAACTTTCCTACCTCTTTTTTGTACAATATTTCATGACATCATATGGAAAAAGGTTTGATACAACAAGCAAAAAATTTACATTGATTGGTATGATACGACAACAAAATTTTAGTAAAATAATGAAAAAAAAAAAATACAAATTCAAGTCTAAAAATGTGTGGTCATATGAATATTAAAAAAGATTAATAAAATGAAAAAAATATATATATATATATATATATATATAATCAAAAAATGTTTAAAAATAATATCAATATTAAAATAATATAAATAAAACTTATAAAGGAAACATTAAATAATTCAATCCGGTTCATACGCACGTAAAAATCTATTTGTTTATTTTATTTTTAATTTCGTTGTAAAAGAAAATCAAAATAATCGAAATTATTCATTATAATAATATAAATAGTAACTGTATATATTATGTCTGAGCACTCACCTTACGGGCCATACGCCTTTCAGCGTACCAAACACCGTAGCTATATAGCAATGGGAGACCATGCAGGAGGCGAAATCAAAATATCCGTGAAGCCAGGGTGTCACACACTCTCACAACCAGCTTCAAGCAGTGGTGAAAGCCTTTCGTACTCCCAATGATTACCAACAACCAGCCGGTGCAGCCATCCCAAGGCCTTCCGCAAGGTAATTGTGTACGAAATTCGCCACCATTAAGTACCGTTCTTTTTCTTAACCACTTCACGAGCCAAACTACTTAAATAACTAAGGATCCGATCGTATTCAATCAATTTACTGAAATCGATCCCGGCCCTCCATTCCAAAATTTTGACCGGCCCATTACGAATGTTGCGTTACGACGAATAAGTTTGTACGTCACCCGTCCATTGCTTCCAGTCTTCAGTCATTCCACATCCATATAAATTCGCATGCCATTATTACACAAATAGGCATTCAGAGAACCATGCCTCGTCATAACAAAATCAGTTCATGAACTGAGCAGAATGTATGGCCTTTCCATCAACACGTTGACGGACAGTAGAAACAAGAGAAATTCGAAATCATGACACTAGGCTTCTACTTGTACGCTGGTAAATGCACATTTGTGCTGCTACAGCCGTCAATTCATTATAGAAATCACAAAATCTCTAATTTCATTGTAAAAACAGCATTTCATCAAAATATGCATATAGTTTTCTTCTATACCTCACTCGTATAAATCCACCTGGGATGTGCCACTTTTATATAAAAATTCTTTCAGAAATCCATGCCCCGTCAGTAGAAAACCAGTACTTGAACTGAAAAGAAAATCTGACCGGTAGAGCAAGAACATTGCGTTGAGAATGAATTCCTTCCTTGATTAATGCGTCTTATTTTTTTTAATACATTGCATTGTACCCAAATCACTTGCTGTATCTTGTCCTATGCGATGGGGCTGCCATCTATTGTAGTCTAGAAACATTGTGACCTTCCGTCCATATAATCTTCCACCTTCTAACACCAACCTACGTAGAAAGCGAACTGCACTCCACACCATCGCTTTCCTACAAGGTGATAATGTACGAATACCACCTCTACTAAGTATCGCCCTTCTTCTAAACGAATACAAAATCCATTCTCTCGTACATAGTTATTCCATGATATCTGTTTTAATCGCAAAACTTCTCCCAACCTGTTGACATGGCAGGAGCTTCTTCCATACATTTTTGCAACGGTTGGTGCTGATTTAGTGTTGATGCTTTTCTCTAGGTGGCGCTATGTCCTGTCATTCTTATTGCGCTGAGGTCGAACATGGTTATTTATGCTTTTATGCAATTTTTTTTTATTCCAGTAAGGTAGATGGTTGGTGAGCTCGATATAAATGCAATATACATGATGAGCTGATGAGTATACCATTATTTCGTCATTACAACTTCTACTTCATAACTTCAAAAGATATACGTGATTTCATTGCACCCAAATCAATTTTTTTCAATTCAGCTAAGTATATGATTGATCCGTTGTAGCTTGTCCTAGGCGATGCAGCTACCATCTATCGCTGCCTAGAAACATGGCATCTTTGAATTTGAGGCAGTTGTTTGGGTCCTTGCTTATGTAGTATTGACACTTTCCTGTACCAGGCGCTATGCCCTGCCATTCCTATTGTGCTGATGTCAAGCCTTGTTATTTTTTATGCTATGTTATTTTATGCCAGCTATGTAGATGCATGGTGTGCTTGACTGTCATCTACCCAGAATAACGCCACCTGGAATTATGCAAACTTGTTAAGGTCTTTGCTTATTTGGAAGCATTTCATATGACTGTAATTTATTACCGCCTAGAAGGAACGCCTCCTTAAATTTTGATCAATGGTTGGGATTCTTGCTTTGTTGGTTTTGGCACATTTCTCTGGGTGGTGCTATCTCCTCTTATAATTCCTAGTTTTGGCACTTCCTCTGGGTGGTGCTATCTCATGTCATTCTTATTGTGATGATGTTCAAGTCGAGCTTGCTTTTTATAATGTCAATATTTTTTAAATGCCAGCTAAGTAGATGATTGACCTGCTCCTTTCTGTCACAGGTTATGGACTGACATCTGTTGTTGTCTAGAAACGGTGCCTCTTTAAGTTTTTAAAGTGGTTGATGTCTTTGATTATTTGAGTGTTGAGCCTTTTGCCACTGCATGGCGCTGTCTCCTGTCGAGGTTGGTTGTTATAAGGTCAGGGACTTCGGAAGCGTTTCCTATCGCTGTCATCCAATGCTGCCCAAAAATAACGCCTCCATAAATTCTGTGCAGATTGAAGTCCATGATTATTTAGTGTTGTCATTTCTATCTAGGTGGTGTTATCTCCTGCAACTCCTATTGTGATTTATCCTAAAATTTTGGTGATAGTTGCCTATTAAAATGCTTATATTTGATATCGTAGACATCTTTGATTCATCTTCGAACCAAAATGTTGGTTTTAAAATTTCTTTTGCCTATTCTTCAGAGGTTTTTCCTCTAAAAATTTTTTAATATTTTTATTTTTATATATAATATTTTTATTTCGAAATGCTCAATTTTATACCTTAAACCACTGAAAATTCACAAAATTATTCCATTAACGTACCAAGTGGCGTATAAGTATTATTAATTTAAATTTAATATCCGTACAACGGTACGTATTAACAAAAAATATACAAAAAAAATATACGTTGAGATATTTCATGTTCTTCGAAAACCATACGAATTTTTATATGAAAAAAGTATATATTTTATTTTTTAATTTTTTCTTTCGCATCGATAAATGCTATTCATATGACCACACATTTTAGACACTACGAAAAAAAAAACACATTTTTTAATTTATAAAAAATACAACAAATGGTGTTGGGTTTCTTCATTTAGGGCTATATTTGTCGAGATATTTTGGTTTTCAATTACATATATATTTTACATATATATTTTATTTACTGCTACTCTAGTCATATAAAAAAGCTAATCTTTGTTTTTGGTTTAGGACAAATTTAACAGGTAAACATTTGCTATATATTAAAACAAATACATAAACCTATATATACAAAAAATGTTAAAAAACAATTGCAATTAGACAAAAAAACTTATATATGAAATCAAAATTTATAACCCATATATTAATTATTATAATGGATGTAATGCTTAAGTGGAAACAAATGAAATGCACAAAATTATTTTTAATTAAAAAATATTTAATTTAAGTTTTTTTTATTTGAATATTCATTTAAAATTTCATATTTTATATTATTATTAAAGAAAAAATCCTAAAGGTTTTTGTGGACTTTTTGTAGTTATGAAAAAAAAAACTTATTAAATTTTATTTTCAATATATATTTTTTTGTTATGAACTTAACATTTAAACAGGGCTTAAATCGAGACATAAGTAATCATTTTTTTTTAGGTATTATAAAAAAACAAAAAACATACGAAATAATAATTTGCACTGCCTATGAACAACGTGAATGAAAACTAATTATTAAGGAAAATAAAAACTAAACTGCTTTAATATATATTTTCTTAAAATATTTTTGGTTAATATTTTGCTATTATTACTTAGCTAGGTGTTGGT